TCCCAAGATAAAATAGTTTATTATTCATTCAATTAAATAAATTCATACGTGACCATAACACAAAAACCACGATGCAGGCCATAATATCAACCACACATTACAAGATATCCATTTCATATCACCATTTCAATCTGTCCTCACATCATTACATCACATCAAGTATACACCCGCCGTCATATATCACACAACATCTCAATATATCACCAAACTTCTTCTCGTATATACAACTCGACAAAGACGATGAACAGTACTGAATAAATTTAATTTCGAAATGACTATAAATTAAATAAGCCCTGCTGGGCTTAGACATTTTCTCTTTTGATTATTCTGTTATATTTTTATGAATTTACTTAATTTCATTTGGTTTATATTGTTTGAATTTACATTTTTTGATGTTCTAAATTGGTGAAATTAAATTTTTCAAAATTTGTTGACGACGCAAAACTTTTTACAATCTCTGTTTTAATGTGAATTCAGTAAAATGGATGATGTAATAATTTTTATCCATAAGCATCACCACATTCGCCATCACCATCAGCACTTTTACAAGACTCAGCATCACCTTCATCGTCATTCTTACTCATCATGAAATCAATCAACATTCTCATTATAACAAACTGCAGCATTTTTATATGACATACAACATCATTTTCATTCTTATCACGCAATTCAAAATCACGGAATCTATCATCATCTTAGAAATTTTCACCAACATTCTTTTCCACCATCCTCATCATCATTTTCATCCTCATTATCACTCCTTCCTCATCAGCATCGTTCATTCCAGCACCATCCTTTTATCCCCTAATACCATCCCGTAGCTGCCAGCTTCTACACAATAGCCGATAATGCGCTCACGCTCGTAAACTATCGACCGTTGCCTTATATTTGCGTTCGTTCGTTCGTTCATTCGTTCGTTTGTTTGTTTGCGTGTTCTTTTGTTCGTTCTTACGTGTTTGTATGTTTCACTTTTGGTGGTTAGTTTTGTTCTTGAGTGTTTGTATGTTTCGTGTTTGGTGGTTAGTTTGTTTGTTCGATCATTGGTTTTTTCCATTGTATGTACGTTTGCTCGGTTGATTTACCCTATGTTTGTTTGTTTTTTCACACATATATTTGTCGGTTTGTTTGTTTTGTATATGCTTAGTCTGTGGGTTGGTTTGCTTGAATGTTTGCTTGTGAACATGGTGGGTCACTTGCTTGTTTGTTAGCTTGGATAAATTTATGGTGTCTCAAGTTTTTGTTCATGTTTTGTTTATTCATTGCACACAAGATGAATCGTTTTTTTCTGATATTTATTGCAACTTTAGATAACAAGTTTTTAAAAAAAATTTAATTTTCAGCCTATTAATATGAAACATTAACAAAACGGTTGTAGTGACGATGATAGCAGCTGATTGTGGCTCCAGCATCACTCATCTGTGCTGTGTGTTTAAGACGGTTATGTGTTATGTTAATGTAAATTAAAAATTGCCCATAGACTCTGTATGAATATATTAAAAATTCAATCCAATGGTACAAATACCCCACAAAAAATTCACATAAACTCTCGATCGTCACTCTGATAAATTACCATATGATACATGTGTAATGAATTTTACATAACGTTGATGAGGTAATTATTATTAATGGAAATAGATACTTATATTGGTTTGTGCTGTTAAAATTTGAAATAGGATACATTATACAATGCAACACACATTTTTAACATATTTAAAAATTGTTTCAATTAATAAGTATAATCAAAAATAAATTCAAACTTTACAAAGGTTTTTAACAAATGAATAATTTTGAAACAACACCTTGCATCAAACATGTAATATTTAATTACTTTTTATATATGAAAACATCGGTTTAAACATGTAAAATGACAGAAATTTGTGCGACAAATAGAAATAGTTATCGCATAGTATTTTAAGTTCTTGACTTTCTTTAATATTTGCCCTTTCTGTCGAAATTTGCATGTTTGTCGGTTTGTTAATATTAACGACGCCATACCAAGCTTGTCTGAACCAGCTATTGAGTAGCTATGTTATATGTGGATTTTTAAATTTCTTGTAAACATCATTTTTAAAATTTTTAAAACAAATAATCTTATAAACACACAAAAATAAAATGTAATGGCATAAATGTAAGAAAAAACAAATGCCAAATGCAAATAAACAAAAAAACAATTGTGTTGTATTAGTATAAGCGTGTGCATGCACTTAAACACATGAATGGGAAACTAAACATGAAAAATGCACTGTATAAGTATGAATGCATGCATGCATTGTGTTAGTATCAAATATATAGCCTTTCGTGTGTGTTTGTCGGTGCATGACTTGGTTTACGACATTAGGATCCGGATTTTTTCTTTATTTTTTTCCTGTTCATATTATTTTTTAGCTGCTGTGTTTATATTTCAATGCGTTTTTTGGTATTAAATTTATCTTAGTTTGCTATCAGAGAAATACGTTATAATGTTTTATTTCCAATCTCCCGATTTGATAAAAATAAATTCATTTTCTTATTGTATTAATACATAGGGGGAGGAAATGAAGAGTTACGACATTTCTGAATGTAATCAAATATGTTGTTTATATGAGCTTGAATGAAGTTACAGAATACTATTTTTTACCAAAAACTAATTTTAAAATTCTAAACAAACCGCTGAAATACGAAAAAAAATCACTTTTTATTGCTCTTTTTATTTCGATTCATTTGTTTAATCACACAATTCCATTTTAACTACTGTTATTATTACCTGCTTATTATATTATATTCAGAATGTTCACGCATTTAAAACTTAGTAGATCTATCCATTGTTTTATCAATAATTCATTCATCCATTTATTTATTTATTCATCATTTATTCATACATTCATTCGTTCGTTCGTTCGTTTGTTCATCCACGTTCGTTTGTTCACTCATTTCTTCAACTTCTTGCGAAGCGTAATAAATAATAATTCATTATAGATAACAACTCGTTGTTACTCTTGAAGCAAACATGGGCCTGCAAACCAATGAATAATAATAAAAATCAAAACAATAATAATAATAATAATTGTAATATTAAGGAATAATTATATTATATATTTTTTTAATATATATATTATATTATATTTAAGCAACTACAGTAGAAACATTAAAGACTCATTTTACTGATTATATAACTTAATAATATTATTTTTAATTGATAGATAGCAACTGAAAAAATTATGAAAAAAAATGCAAAGAAGAGAATAATAATAAGAGAATAATAATGAAACTGAATAAAACAATTAATCTTATTTTATTTAATTCATTTCATTTATTCCTCATAAATTTGAAAAAAAAAGTATTTTGAAAAAGTAGTTGAAAAAAAACAGATCCACAATTGAATTACACAACTAACTGATCAATAAATTAATTGCAATCATAAATTTTGAAAGTTTCATACAAAATAACAACGACACCCACAATGATTACTAATACAAGTTCCAACTCTCTTGATACAACAACTACAACTACAAATGAAATACTACAAAAGCAACTAGTAGCACCAAACAACAACAGTAACAATACTACCTCTAAATAACTTGTAGCAACGAGAGGGACTGCAGTACTGCGATAAAGTATTCTTTCACTTTTGACATTACAAATTGTTCGGTCTATTAATTGCAGGGTAAAAGAAATGCTCTTCAAGTGCTACAAAGATTACCTTATCAACAAGCGTTGGCTCACAAGCAGAGTAGGATTGTAAATCAACTCACTCTGATAATTTATAAGATCAGGGAGTTTTTCTTGATATTTTTGACTGTTGTTTGCTATAAATACAAAACTTTGTAGTCTGTATTTTTATATATTTTTTCATATTTTGCCAACCATAATTTTACATTTTTTGATATGGGAGATTATTATTTCGATTTTGTTATATTGACTTGTCAAAATTCAGGATTTTGAATAAATTATATTTATTTTACAAATGAAATGATAGTACAACACAGAATCAAAAAACAAATAATTATTTTCTACAAGTGAATGAATGAAGTATAAATGACTTCTTAAGAGCCACCTCTTACTTTGTATTTGATAAGAATGAAACCGCGTTGTATTGTGAAGCTTATTAATTTAGCCAACCTTTTAGCCAACAATAACAAAAGTAACACCAAGTAATAATAATAATAATACTTAATAATATATAACAAAAAATAATTATACGAATGAAGAAAAATAATAATATTCTGTTGTAGAGTTTAGTTTTGCAAAAAAATGAATATTATTCAGCAAAAATAACATTCAAACTAGTTAACAAACAAAAAATAATTTGTTTGGAATTGAAATAAACATGGGATGGTAGGAAAACAGAGGAGAGTAATACATCACATGGTAATTATGCATGCATATAACTATGCCAAGTGGTGTTATTGGCCCGACCGCTAAGACTGAATACTAATTAATATTTCTCTTTGTTAGTTTGTTTGTTTGTATTTTACATTTTTTTATGTTTATTAATTTGTTTTGATGTTTTTTGTTGTTTTATAAATGAATAATTTTTAATTTTGTCACCGTCCGACAAGCAGTTGAAAGTTTATATTTCTGTTTATTGACTAGGTAATCTTTAAATTACAGATAAATTAAAAATTGAAATGTTATAAAAATACAAATGATACCTTTTTTCTAAACCAAAAAAAAATAAACTAACATATATGCAGCAAGAAAATTTATCGCCATCATTAGACCATTGCAGAATTGATGTCATGCTGCTGTTTGATATTCCTGACTTGGACTTCGCTTAAGCCCACGAGCTCTGTGCTCTCCATGCTCACCGACTGATCTATTGCCTGTTGCTCTTTCGCTAAATAAAACGCAGCACTGTTTGTTTCTATGTCAAGTTTTTATTTGCTTCTTTGCCTTTCTTTGGGTCCCGTTTTATTACAAACTTTGTTTTAAATTTTATCAGAACATTATCTGTTTAGCAATATGCTGTCTATTTGTAAGCATTATTTTAAATTTTAAATAAATTTATCGAGATAATAAACATGGAGGGATTGCATAGAGAGATATACGCGCCAGAAATGATAGCCATATTGAATTCAAAATTAGTCAGCGCCGGAATAAACAACATTTATCAGCATTTGAATAATTTCAACGAGAACGTAAATCCCATTCAACACTTGCCTACTGAAGTCTTTCATGCCAGTTATAAACATCAATATAAATATATCTTCATGAACTCAAATAAAATATTCTTTTTCAATTTTTTCTCCTCGCCACGTCAGGACTTTTATTTAAATTTATCTGCACGTAGCATTAGTATGCACAGAGGACGTCATAAAGTATATTTCAAAAGGATATAAAACAAATTAGCTCTCTATATTGCCATTTACCATTTTTTTGGTGTTTCATTTCTTTCTTTTTTTTCAAAATTTTCTAAATAACTTTCTTATTCTAGTTAATTTCAACATTCATCGAGTAATTTATTTGAAATAGATAATTTTATTTCTATTAGATTCTCACAAATTTCTAACAAAAATTACAATAAAATTAAATTTTTCACGAAACATGAACGGCGGTATATAACGAGTGACAGCGAATTTGCATAAGGCGACCATAAAGTACGAAGATCATCCTGATAGCACATTTCACCCAAACGCAAATGATATACAACACACACACACACACACACAGAGGTATGGTTTGTGACCAAATGGTGGCAAAAAATGATATCATTTATGATAAAAGAGAAAACGAGAGTTATTTTTATTAACGATCATATAATTTTTTTCTCTACAAATCAACTAAAATTAAAAAAAATTTTTTTTTTGTTACAAATATATACGTAAATAAATGTAATGTAATAATATTATATGTTTTGTTAGATTTTCAAAAAATAGTTAAAGATCATTGACGTAAATAGCACAAAACTTACTGATAGTATATAAGAACTAACTTTAATTATTTACATTCTGAAATATTTGATAATTCCTCTAAAAATGTTTTAAATTACATTTTTGCTCATGACGAAAAATTTGTTGCAATTTTTTTTGTATTTCAATTCAAATATGTATACATTTATACTGATAATGCTCGTACAATATATATCTCAATACCAAACATAAATAGCAGAGTCATATTATCGCATAAATACTTCATGTAAGTTAGGAACGCTGTACAACTATTATATAAATCAAGTCAAACAATCATCAGTGTGATAAACAATGCTCTATCCATACATACATACACACCTATATACATACACACATACATATATACATACATACACACATACATACTTACATACATACATACATACATACGTATATACATGCTGTCTCTTACAATACAATAATACAACTCGATATTTTAACGTAAACATCCATAAATCCTTTCAATGGATTCTGATTTAGTGTATGTTGATGATTTGGTAAATGTTGAACTTATTTTTATATATATTCAAAATTAAAGCAATTTTAGTTATTAAATTAATGTACATATTCTATGTATCTTTAATTTTTTTTAAACTATTTCACATGATGCGTCAAATATCCCAACTTACATAATAACATTCGAATGATTCTAAATTTTCATAACCAGATAGATATATTATATATTTATTTGTTTTTTTTTTATTAATTATCATTTAAAATAATTTAAATTAAATCATATCTACTTTTCCAACTTTAAGACATTCATTCAACATTTTTTTTATAAACGCATTTGTATTATACCCATTCATAATAGCCTGCCTTGATAACATCATCAAAATGATACTCTTTATTTTTTGATGACTAATTAATGATGATATGATCAAGACGATGACGTCATCATCTTAGCCAAGTCACTGATGGCATCTACTGTTTTGTCATATGGAACGTCATGTTAATCTTTCTTAGCGTCATCATTTTAGTAACATAATGAATGATCGTCGTCATTATTACCTTTTAAACCATCATTTTTATCATCTGAGTCGTTTCTTCATCTTCTTTTTCAACGTGATCGTTGTATTTTGGTTCCACCAAAACTATCAACATCATCATCAACATCGTCAAAATCATTGTATAGTTAATCACTATTTTCATATTCATCATATTCATCATCATCTTTTTCATCTTTCGTATAGTCTTAGACGATGTCACTCTCATCATACTCCTCATCTTCATCATCATCGCACTGTAGTTATCATCGTAACATTATAACCATCATCCTAATCTTCATCACCATCATCATAATCATGATCATCTTTGTCATCGTCTTCATCGTCATCATCATTTTCATCATCGTACGCGCTGTCATCATAATCATCATCAAAATATCACCATCGTCATCGTCATCATTGTCATCATCATCGTCGTCATCGTCCCTATCGAGCAGACTCGACTGGTGATAATGACGCTAACCATGATGAACGCAGCAATTCCAATTGATGAATGTCTGTGTTGATAAGAAGTCATACATATCTCCATACCATTCATTCATTCTTTCGTTCGTTCATTCTTTCAGCAGTTCATTTATTCATTCTCTCTTTCGTTTATTCGTGCGTTCGTTCGTTTGTTCGTTTGTTTGTTTGCATGTTCATCCAACCATTTTTATTTGTATTTATACACGTTTTTTGTAGTTTCACTATTTCAATCTTTGAAACGATAATATTTACTATACTCATTCTAAAATTAATCGGTTATAAACTTCATTTATCGTTATATTTTTGCTCAGTAAGGCCATGAAACTTCATGTTTCATGTGATATGTGTTAGTTTAAATGCTCATTCATTGTGTGTCACTAAACGTTGAATTTCAGGAGCTTTTTTCAACCATTTTGTGGAGCTTTGGTTTTTACGTTTCGTAAATTCATACACACACACATAAACAAACAAACACACACACACACACACACACACAAATTCTAAGAACACAAATTGTTAGTTATCGATCGAACTAGCGCAATAAAACGCATTCAACATCTAGGCAATTTCATACAATTATGAAATATACAACATCAACAACCATTAAGCAAACATGCATTGATCAATTGCAGAGCCGTACGTTGCTGAAAATCTCATATATTTTGTATACAGTTTTAAACACAAACATTTGCAGTTGTCTGTGGATTCATGCGACATGATCATGTTTAAGAACGAATCTACGTGGATCGACATGCTATAAATTAGTCTGCATGTATGTAACACAATCGCTCTGTTATTCTTGCTGAAATGTAAATAAAGAACTGTTTAAAAAGAATTTGAAGTTTGAACTATGAATTTTGTATTGCAATAAATATTACTGTTCAATCTTGCTTTTTCTGTTTTTTTAAGATGTTGGTTGACGAATTCTCGTACTGAGATTAAATTCGTTCTTTTGGTTTTGCGTTTGTTTGTTTGTTTTTTTTATGTGATTACACTTATGAATCATCATAACTCATCACTTTAAACTAAAACCTTTTCCGCTTTCGCTTACAAAACTTCTCGATGCTAAATTTGAAATTCAATAAATAAATTTTTTTATTGACGTAAATATGCACAAATGATCAAATGATATAACCAATAATATAATTTTAAAAAAAATATTCAACATTATTATAAGTTCCAAATCACCATGGCATTCATCATCATTTATCCATCATTAAAACAAACATTGTACTCACATTAATCATTAATCATAGAGAAAAGTATACACACACACACGCACGCACATACACGCACACACATGTGTGACACGGAACACTAAACAGACATCATTGATACGACGGATAGTGATCCAATGATCCAAACGAACGTTTTTAAATTATCTCCACAGTCAAACCAATCCAATCTATGTGCCACACCGACTTGAAATGTTGTTTATGATACTATATCACCATCCTCATCTTCCTCTTCATCACCATCATCAGTTGTATCATCATCTTTTTCTAGATCATGATCAACCTTATTGCTATCTTGGTCATTGCTATTGGTCATTTCAACAATCACCTCCATCGCAATTGTCTTTTTTGATCATCATGGTTCTATGCATCATCCGCAATATATGCTATCATCCTTACATTCCTCATAATTCTTAATTACTTTTTTCATATTCACCATCATTATCACTGCTGTTTTCATCACCATATTCACCATCATGATCAACATCACTTTCATCATCATTATCATCATTGCTAATACTGTCGTCCTAATCTCATCTCAATCATTTTTATGATTGTGAACATCATTTTGACAGCTTTTCAAAAATGACATCATCAACATTCTCACATCATCGTCGTCACTGATATGTCTTCATTGTTATAACAAAAAAATAAACTTATACAAAATATTTGTTAAAACATATACATTAATTTAATTAATATATTTATAAACATAATTACAAATAGCGTAAAATAATCACTTAACAATCGATTCAACCATAATTGTAGAAGATGTGGCCACAAAAACGGCGTCTGAGACAGATTCAGATTTTTTTTTAAATTAAAAAAAATTGATATAGCGTTAGCTTGTATCTAAGATCCAGAACTCAAATTATATATTTTCACACAGAATGATAATTTGTTGCAGATACTGTTAATATAAACAATATCCAAAAAAATTATCATTAGATCAAATTTTTTATAAATTTATGAAATTAATTAACCTGGGTGGATATATATATTATTTTGTGGAAACATTTGAATTGGAGATGGCTGTAAAAGTCTATATTATATTAAAACAAATTAATGTCTTTAAACAAAGGGTTAGAGCTTCAATGATCTCTTAAATATCTTCCAACATAAAAACATCTTTTAAACCAAATTTTTTTTCACACCAAATTGCCAAAAAAAATTCTGATTAGAAGCCCTAACGCTAAAAATATATTTGATTTAATACATTGGAAATCATTAAATCATGGCTGTCTGCAATTTTTATTGATCCATTCCAGGCCAGGCATGATAAATTAAATTGACGAGACATTTTTTTTACATATATTTTTAAAATTATAATAACTATATTTCATTTTATTATAATAATATTTCAAATAGTTACAAATAATATTACTAATTATTTTGTTATATCGTTACTAACTAAATTTCGATTCGTTCTATTTGGTAATATTATTGTTATTAGATTAATATTCAAACAAAAATAAACATTTTAAACAGAGGAAAAAACAAAACGCATGAATCACAATTAAGAAGAAATTGAAACAAATATGGTAGGAAAGCACTTATGGGACTAAGTTTGCTTGATTTGGGCGATAAAGAAATTTTATTTACCGAAATTAGCCTAAAGAAAATTGTACGAATTGTATATACTTCAATGTGCATGTGGAAAATAACAAATCGGAAATGTGCTGTTGTGTTTTTTACAGTATGCCAAATTAATTCTTTTTCATTCTGCAGATGGTGTGATGTTAATTTTTAAATTTTTTTTTCAAACATTGTACTTAATAACGTTTTTACCATTTCATATTTTTAAATTCTAGATTTTGCAAAATTATTTTGGTGAATGAGGACATTTGCAAATACCAATTTTCCATGTGTTTCGCCAATTGTTGTTTTCAATCGTCATAGTTGTCTAATGAACTAATAAAAGAAACGAAAGTAAAAAACCTGATTTTGAGAAAATGTTTATCAAAATAACATAAAAAATTTTTGTTATTCTTAAAAAACATTGAAAGCAACAAACTTAGCGCCTACCACACCATACATATACACACATAAACTCGCCACACAAACATGCACACACAAAAACACACACATTACGCCATAAAGCTCTCTTCATTAGAGAAGAATTTTGAAAAATTCAGTTGATAACAAACTCGCACGTAATGATGATTCCACTAAATCAAAATCGGCAAGGTGTTTAGTAACTTTGTCAATAACGTAAACAACGGGTTTATTTAGAAAATAAAATTTGAATAAGCAAAAATTTTGAAAGTAAGGGTTGATGAATTAATAACTTCTTGGTATTTGAAACGGTATTCATGATTGCATTAAAAAAGAAAAAAAAACAAGAAAAAAATGCATTTGAAAGCATTATTTTGGTAGGTTTTAAATCTGCAGACATTTCCGAAGTTTGCTAGAAGGCGTGAAAAAAAAATTATTTGGATGATTTAACCTTTATAGTCCGAAATGTGAATACATTGTATCTGCAATTGAAATTATAACATTTGCATGCATGTATAATATGTTAATTTAATACATACGCATAAAATAATATTCAGAATAATAAAAAGTATTTATCGCCATTTTGAAAATGAAATTGTTGAAAAAATGTATGTGTTGCCAAAGTCTTACGTGTGAATTTTTTTATAAAATCAAAAAAAATTATACTTTTATTGTAAAATAATTATTTAAATTGTGAAAAAATGTACACTTATTACCTATAAAATACTTGTAAATATCAAATATATTTCAAAATGACACGAACAAAATAAACAATTCACACATACACATAAATAAATAAAGCGTGAAGAGAGAATCTTCCCTCTACATTCGTTATTATAATTTATGAATTCAGTGCAGAAGTCTCCTCGTACATCATGTCCGAACGTTTGTGGTTCGGCATTGAGATATGCCGCTGTGGATTTCTTTTTATTAGTTTTTTATGTTTGTTTCTCTTTTTTGTGTTTGTATATTGGTGTTTGTTTGTATTTTTGTCTTGGTGTAAGTTGGTTTGCTTATTTACGGCTTGTTTCATCAAGCTATGTTTGTTTGTTGTTGTTTGTTGGTTGGAGTGATTTTTATATTATATGTTTTCCTTTGGTTGTTTGCGTTTTTTATGTATTCTTACTTTTGTATTTTATTGTTTATATATTCAACGTTTGCATTCGTGTGTAAAATGTATGCTAATTTGTTTGTTTATATACATTTATGTTAGGAGTGTTTCATACTCCTTGTTTGTTTTTATAAACAAATACGCTGCTGTATTTTTTGTTGTATTTGTTGTTTTGTTGGTGTTGTTTGGTTATTTATTAGATGGTATTTTTTTATCTGGAGATTTTCGCCTAGTAGGGAATGAAACGTATACCAGAGATAAAAACAATCTTATAATGGTGCATGATTTATTTTTGCTGAAGCGATAAGAAAAAACGTTTTTTTCTTTTGTTAGATGAAGCAAAGATGAAAAAGATTTTGCAAAAAATAATTTATTGTTGTTTTTTGAACCATTTTTTACATTGTAACTGTTTATGAAACAAAGCTTTTTAACTAATATGCCAGCGAACTCTTAGAATCATTCTAAACTATATGTTTTCTTATTTTTAAGAATGTTTTTCTTTATAAATTGTTTTTTGTAATTTTAATCACAGAAATTTAACAATTTTTGCAGATTTATTTATTGGAAGAATTGGAGGTTGAAGTTCAAAGTGATGTTGATTATCATCCGGTTGGCTGGTGCGGCTCTGCCCAGTTTTTAATCATGAAAAATATTTTTCTCATATTTTGTTGTTTCAGTCACTCGATATATTGCTATTATATATATATATATATATATATATATATATATATATATAAAGTTTATAATTAATCAAAATTTCTCTTAATTACAGTTTAATGTTTTATATACAGATTTTTATAACATTGATATAAAATGTGTGAAACTGTAGTTTTATTTACAATAAAAATGCATAAAAACTATTGTATATTTATCAACAAACAGTTCACAAATATAATAATAGTAATAATAATAATAATGTCAAACGGTGTAGTTAAAAGTGTAATTTTTTTAATTATTTCATTTTGAAAACGCACATTGAGAAATTTGAATGCATGCCTTATTTTTAATCACAGATATATATTTTTAACTATTTTTGTTCATAATTTGTGACATTTTTAGGCATAATTCATTAAATAGAATTCATTTTCAGTTATCAATCAGTCGTTTAAGTATTTGGTCGTATTCAATTACAGTTGGTCTTTTAAGTAACAACCAACATTCTCTTGCAATTATTCATATTTGTTTCTTTTTGGTGAATTTATATTTGGTTAGGGTTTGTTTGTTTGATTGATTATTTTTCAAATAAATTAACATATATATAAGTAATTTCCTTTATTTTATCAACAAAATGTAGAAGCTAATTTTGATATTTGTAATTCTGAAAATTTTTAAAAAAGAACAAAATTGAGAACGGTTTATAAAACTACAACAAAAATATTAATTTGCATTCAACAGAGTTATACATGCTACACAATTCTG